GTGTCATTGATGCAGGACTTATATGTTATCAGGTCAACGCTTTTTCTTAGCGATTGGAATCGATAGAACGATCAATATAATTTAATGTTTGAAGATGATTTCATGCAAATGTTGTCCGCGGCTCCGCTTTAATAGGCCCATGCGCAAGGTCCAATTTTGGCACACTCACTCTAACATATCGACCGGTATTTCACGTATAAATGCTTCAATATTGGCTTCCAGTATGTCAGTCGTTGCTGGTTTATCCCTGTAGGCATGAGCCTTAACATGACCTAACGAAAAAATAATCCAAAGGCGTTAAATCGTATCATCTAGGCGGCCAAACTGTTCACCGAAGGCGGCTCTCAATTAGGCCATTGTTTCGCGTGCCGTATGGCATGTGATACCGTCTTGTTGAAACCACATGTCAGTCATGTCCAATTCTTCGATTTCAGGCAACAAAAAGTCGTCAATCATCACACGGTAGCGCTAGCCATTCACAGTAACGTTCCGGCCATTGTCGTCTTTGGAGAAGTACGGCACGCTGATGACTCCGACCTATAATCCACACCAAACAGTGACTTTTTCTAGATGCATAGGTAGCTCTTGCAATGCTTGTGGCTGGTCTTCACTCCCGATGCAGCAATTTTGTTTGTTAACGTATCCATTCAACCAGAAATGAGCTTTGTCACTGAACACAATTTTTCTATAAAAATTTGGATCTTCCTCCAACTTTGCCAGCGCCTATTGACCAAATGTTAGACGTTGTGGGAGGTCTTGTGGCTTCAATTTCTGCACCAGCTTTATATTTTAAGATTTTACACCCAAATCCTTTTGCAAAATTTTCCATATAGTGAAGTAACAGAGGCCCAATTGCTGCGAACGGCGGCGAATCGACATTTCACGATAATCATGAACACTGGCGGATACAGCCGCAATATTTTCTTCTTTCCTCACTCTACGTATGCGAATTGGTGGTTTGATGTCCAATAATGTAAACTGGGTTCGAAATTTAGTCACAAGCTTCCGAATAGCTCCCTCAGTAGGCCGACGAAACTGCCCATAAATTGGAAGAAGTACACGATGCACTTTATTCACCGAGCATGAATTTTGATAATGAAATTCAATAATTTGCAAGCGTTTTTCATTCGTCAGTCGATTCATGGTTAAATTATAGACACTATTCACGCGTGATCCGTCAAAAACAGTGTTGCCAAAAAGATACAAGCGAAAAAATCACTCATCAGTTTGGATAGATTTCTGTTCAAGATGTGATGGGGGTTTTTGACTGGTTGTGTCTGTATGGTTTCTGTGATTGTAAGATCTAAAGAGTTTATCGAGTTATTGGTTTCGAATTCTTTCAGTTGCAAATTTCATGTTCTACAGTCTGATTGAATAGAACTGGCCGATACTTGATGAAAATCCATATTTAAAAAACGAATCAATAGAGTTTATTCTATATATAAGGGTTTTACAAAAACCGCGACACGTGTTTCGCTATACAATAGCTTCTTCAAGCATAACTAAGAGTTACTTCTAAATCACAACCTTAGATACTATAACCTAGTACCTATTCGTCTACCTAAGTAATAGTAATAAATTCCACATATGCCAGTCGTCTAATCTCAGAGGGACATGAGTTCAACCATGAATACGAACCCCTCCATTTCCAGAAGAAAGGTTTGAAACTTAACCTGTTGGAGAGTATGGAAATAAACAAATTCAAAAACTCCCACCATCTTATGAACGATCAAACTGACTTGAATAATTCGCCATTATTGAATCTGTTCATACGCAGGTAATAATAGTTAGGTATATTTACAGGTAGACTTTCGAAAAATGTATTGATACCTGATTTTTTCAGGTATATTTTACAGGTAGATTTATTACTTAGGTAGACGAATAGGTACTAGGTTATAGTATATAAGGCTGTAATTCAGAAGTAACTCTCAGTTATGCTTGAAGAAGCTATTGTATAGCGAAACACGTGTCGCGGTTTTTGTAAAACCCTTATAGTGAAAATCATAGAATGAACTCTATTGATTAGTTTTCTACAGTCTGTTCCAATGAATGAATTTTTTGAGTTGCGTGTTGTTGTGATATATGTGGCTAATGAATTGGAAATGATTTTGGTTCATGAATTTGGACAATATTGCCTTCATGATTTACTTTCAACCCCTTTACGAAACTTTGCTCAGCAAAGTTGTTTGTTTTGTAATTATTTTGGGTTTGTATACGTATATGAGCTGTTTTCGTAAGTGTTGTTTCAATACAAAAAAAAATCCAAATGTAGATCTGTATGAATAAAGAAAATTGCAGTTCTAATATACTGAATAGGGACCCAGTTCTATTCTCTTTCTTACTCTGATCATAAAAGTGATTAATTTTTATAATTATGAACATTAAAACCGGATATTACGAAGTAACGATTCATTTGGAATCCATTTTGGAAAGACCGTTATAAATTTGGGATATTAAATAAACCGGGCCAAATTAATCGTAAATTAATTACTTTCGTAATCAATTACTTCTCATGGAGAACGGAGAAAAATTATATAAAAACCCACGTACACTTCCAATTCGAAGAGCATCATGATCGGCTGAGGGAGTGATAAAATGAATGAAATAAAAGCAACGGGGATAATATTCTCGTTCTATTTAATGGTAAACCGAATAAAATTCTCATAGCCCGCTTATACTGACCAGACAGTGGTTGATCCTCTGTGGGCCTGTGGTCATTAAGCTTTGTAGGCATGAACTACTATGTATCTTTCACGTTGCTTATAAATAACTAAAAAAGGTTTTGTGTACACGCATTCGCAGGTCTTTTGAACCTCTTTATTGCCGACCGCGGGTATTTGATTTTCCCGACCATAATTCATTCACGGATCAATAAAAGAGTATATGTATCTTTTGTTTCACGTTGAGTACATTACAATATTATGTTTGTAAGTTTTTGGATTCCAAAATGAGTGGTATATATTCAGGAATCATTGGAAATTTTGGAATCTGTCACTTTGAACTCTACTCTTAACTCTAAATTAAATTATTTGTAACAGTTTCACTTTTCACCTAATTCACATATATAGTATTTGGAACTCCTGGAATTGAATAAGCATCTATCCATTTTTCAAATTCGTCGTATTCCCTTACGTATTTGTGATTCGATGAAAGTCTATGCAATGAACACTTTATTGTGGGAGTTTTACTAGACAGTTTGACAAAAACGCAACACGTGTTTCGCTATACAATAGCTTCGTTGGGCGTGTTCAGACACGTCCGAAGAAGCTATTGCATAGCGAAAAACGTCTTGCCTTTTCGTAAAATTGTTTAGTGAATCTTCCACAATGAAATGTTTTTATTGAGCACATAACAATATTATGTTCTTAAGTTTTTTGCTTTCCAAAATAAGTGGTATATATTCATAAATTACTTGAAACCCTAAAATCTGTCTCTCAGACTTCAAACTCTACTCTGGACTCTAAAAATCAAATTATTTATAACTGTCCCATTTTTCACCTGATTCATATCTCATCTAGTATTTTCAGCTCCTGGAATTGATTTAGCGTCGATTCATTTTTCGAATCCCTCGTATTTCCTCACGTATTTATAATTCTCTGAAAATCTTTGCGAAAAAACATTATGGGATTTTTACTGAATACTTTAACGAAAACGCAACACATGTTTCGCTATACAGAAGCTTCGTCGGGCGTGTGATGACACGCCCGACAATAGCTGAAGAGTCTGTACACGCCTGAAGAGTTTCTATTGAGCTTCATGTTGAGCACATTACATTATTATGTTTTTGAGTTTTTTGCGTTCCAAAATACGTCGTATATATTCTGAAATTACTTGTGAAATTCGTCATTCAGACTTCAAACTTCACTCTGAATAATTTATAATTGTCCCATTTTTCACCTGATTCACATCTCATCCAGTATTTTCAGCTCCTGGATTTGATTCAGCCTCTATCCGTTTTTCCAATTTGTCGTTTTCCTTCACGTATTCTCAATCTGAAGAAAATCTATGCAAGGAACAATTTATTGTAGTATTTTCGCCAAATTGTTTAACAAAAACGCAGCACGTGTTTCGCTATACAAAAGCTTCGTCGGGCGTGAGCAGACACGCCGGATAATAGCTTCTTTGGGCGTGTGCACACACGCCCGAATAAGCTATTGTATAGCGAAACACGTGTTGCATTTTTGTAAAACTGTTTAGTGAAACTTCCACAATAAAGAGTTTCTGTTGAGCTTCATGTTCAGCATAACGCAACACGTGTTATGCTATACAAGAGCTTCGTCGGGCGTGTGTAGACACGCCGGATAATAGCTTCTTTGGGCGTGTACAGACACGCCTGAAGTAGCTATTGTATAGCGAAACACGTGTTGCATTTTTATAAAACTGTTTAATTATTGAAACTTTCACAATAAAGAGTTTCTATTGAGATTCATGTTTAGCATATTATAATATTATGTTTTTTGTCTTTTGAGTTCCAAAATAAGTGGCAAATATTCAGAAATTTCTTGAAACCTTGAAATCTGTCACTCAGACTTCAAACTCTATTCTGAACTCTAAATTGAATTATTTATAACACTCCCATTTTCCACCTGGTTCACATCTTATCTAGCATTTTCAGCTCCAGGATTTGATTTAGCATCTTCCATTACATATCAATGAAAATCTGTATTACGGTTCATGAAAACATAAGGAACAGAATATTTCATTTCACATAGAGAAAAATTCAATATTGCAGGATGAAAGTTGATAGTGATGCCAAATAACGTTATTCGAGTCCATAGTGAAGTCAGCATTTCAAAAATTATTTTAATTATTTATGAAATAATTCGGAACATGAACATTTCATGTTCGTATCCTGAAGGGAATATACATTTCCGTCACTATTATTCAGTGCCAACTCTATCGATTCTAATATACGATGAAATAAAATCTAATTTACTAGCCTTTTCCAAATTTTCCCCGAAGCACACAACTCGTGTTCATAATATCGATATATTTTCAGGAATAGATAGAAGGTTCGCTTACACCAAGAGAGACGTAAGAGGCCTTATGGGAGATCAGCCACTGCGAAAGTCAATCATCCTTCCTAAATCTACTTTGGGCCTTTGTCTCTCTCTCGCTGTAGAAACTAATGGTGAGTAGAACAGAGATTACGAAATCAAGCTCACTTTGAGCGTGTATTAAATTTTTATGAATATTCAATGTGAATTCGGGAATATGTAGACTCCGAGAAGTTTGTTGGATTATCAGATACCGTATTAAGCGAATGAGAGTTTGGTAATGAACGTTTAATTAAAAATGGGAACAAGAAATACAGTAACTACGAAACACTACTCACTACTCAAGCCTGTGAATAACTGATAATGTCCTACTCTACTATTCCGGTCAGTGATCTTTTTCTGGGGTAAATTCGCCACACAGTATCGATGACTAATTCTGAGCAACTTTCATTACATGAAGTATGTTTGAGTTATCATTTTCCGACCTATTTTGGAAAGAATCCTCACCGCTGAAGTTTTCAGTGTCACTATTTTCCAGTTTTGAAGGCCGTGAATTGTTGGATTTTTTTCCTGACGTTTCACTAGCGCGAGTGGCTAGCTACGTCAGAGGTTTATAATCCTGAGTTGATATATTCACGGCCTACAAAACCGGAAAATAGTGACACTGAATAATAGTTTTCAGACGGTTATTCCCGAATTTAATTTATGATCGAATATTACCCCTAGATGTTTGATCTCATTACATCTCAGCAAATCTGAATCCTGTATTACATACGGGAATGTATAAACCTCTTTTTTCGACTATAACTCACTACTTTACATTTCTTCACATTGAGTTTCAATTTATCATTGCTACACCAAGCAACAAGAAATTCTAATTGAGATTTAAGATTTACACAATCACCTACTTCCTTAATTATAGAAAATACTTTCAAGTCATCCGCGAAGCATAACCGCTCACAAGCTAAACTTCCACATAAGTCATTAATAAACAATAAAAACAAAAGAGGGCCTAGGTTGAAGCCCTGAGGCACACCAAAAATTCACACTATTGAATTGTATGCGGAGAGATTGAAAGAATCACTGCAATTGTGAAGTTAACTCTTTAAAATATTGTGAATTTTTGACAGAACCCTGATAAAACACAAAAAATCAAAATGAACTGGAACATCATCAATATCAGATACTCATTTATAACTACAAATACAATAAAATAGCGAATTCCTGGAATAACTCCCGGAATGATATACTGAATCAGTGGAAAACAAAGTTTTACTCTGAGTCAATCAAGTGTTTGAGGCAAGCACCTTGTTGTTCCATTTTAATTACACAGAGATTGGACCAGTACGAAGACAAACTCCAACTAATCAGTTGTCAAATAAATTTGAACTGTGGTCACTATAATTATTTGATGCTTGTTAGGTGAATTTTCCGTTTGAACTGATTCGATGCTACGTTTGCATTGATGAAAAGAGGAACTCTATAAGAAACTCAAATGATGTTCGAAGAATCTCCAGAAAAGGAATCTTGTTAGAGTGGACGAGAATAAATAGTATTTTTATCTCGTACATCTTTTTGTCCCTAACAAGAATAGAGCTTTCTCTCAAAACCATAACTTTTATCTAGTAAAAGAAGCTCGTATCATGATGCTAAATTTAACCAAATTGATGCACAAGATGCTCATCTTTACAGTTTCAAGCTTAGAGCGAATACGCGTCATGTATTTCGTAGAGATAACTGATGCATGAAGACTCGAATACAGAAATGAATATGGGAAATGTTACACGGATTCATGATTCCAAAAACTAACCCGCATAATTATAATTAGCAGATATATTCAGTGCTTAGTGATATGAAGAACTTGCTAGAGATTGAAGCGAAATACTGTGAGGTAAAAGTGTATTGAGTCTATGTCGTATAGAGGAGGAAAGTGAAACATTTTTTGAAAGTGAATTTCTGTTCTTCAATGAAGTGAAATTGGAAATTTTTGTATGTGACTTTCAGCACTCCAGAACGTATTCAGTTACTTTCAAATGATCTGAAATAACGATTAGTTCAGCCCAGACTCAAATCACCTACACTGTAGGTTAATGGACTGACATCTATCAGAAAACAACTACTCCCCTGGCTAATATCATGAAGGGCGATGGATTATATCTGACATGTGTCAGTGCAGGATACTTCATTGACGTTATTTCTGCACATGCTATTGGCGATGCAACTGCCGCAATCGAACACACTTGCAGACCGGTTTCGGGCTGTTTGGCCACTCGTCAGTTAGGTCACAGTAAATTTGTGGAGAATCCTGCACTGACACCTGTCGGATATAATCCAATGCCCTTCGTTGTATTTTCCAGGGGAGTAGTTGTTTTCTGATAGGTGTCTGTCCCTTGACCTAAAAACATGTAAAAACACTGTGAACAAGTTTGGGTATCGAAAAAATTGTGATATATGATTTCAATTAATTGAAATGAAAGAAACTGAAGTCGTATTACATAAAATTGAGTATTTTCATTCCTCATATAATGTTCTGTTGAGAATCATTATCAAGATAGATTTCTCGGCAGATGTATTGATCGCAGAGGACCAATAGAATGGCCCAACTCATCATCTCTTGATTCCTTCCTATGTGGTCATCTAAAATCGATCGCCAATTGAATACAGTCTTGAAATTTGAAGGATTTGAAGAGAAGAATAACAACTGCTTGTGGGAAACTTCAAACAGAAGTTTTTAGTAATGTCAGAGATGACTTTCAGAGACAACCGTTTTTCAGTTAGATAGTGGCTGAATAATAGATTTCCTGGTTGATGTATTGATCGAAGAAGAGCAATAGAATAACCACTACGACCACCCGAGTTATTCTCTCTAGATTTATTCCTGTGTAGGCATCTGAAATCGATTTTTCATAAAATTCAGCTTCAAAATTTGAAAGACTTGGAGAGAAGAATGACAAACGCTGTTGGGAACTTCAAGCAGAAATAATCAGCAGGTTGTCTCTATTTCTTGTATTATAATTATCATTATCATTATCACTAAGTGTCTGATAGTTGCTGATATTTTCTTTTATGAATACCAAGTTAGTATATATGACTGATGAAGGTAACGTCAAAATACCTAGCTGTACAAACCACGGCTTACAAGTTTCCAATCTGTTTAAACCTACAATTGCTCTAATTGCTCTTTTTTGGAGTAAAAAAATAGGCTGTAAGTAGATAGAGTGTCCCCAATTCAATAATCCATATGTCATAACATTATGAAATAGTGAATGGTATGTCATGATAGCCGCTTCCCTACCTAAATTAATTTTAACTTGTCTAATAGCATAAATGGCCTTAGATAACCTACTCGAAAGATTGTCTGGGTGAGTTTTCCACGACAAATTGCTGTCCAAGTGAATTCCTAAAAACTTTAACGACTGAGCATCATTTCCTTGGTTCAAGAATATCATAGAAACTGTTTTCGCTTTCATTGAAAGTGCCAATGAAAAAGTGTTATTCGTTTTTTGATATCTTTTCAAATAAAGTCAGAAAAAAATAAATTTGATATTGTCAAATTCTCTTTTTTCCCAAATATCTCAGCAGGCCATGAAAATTCTTCAAGTTTCTAAACGGCATGTAAATGAGCTTTAAAGAACACAACTTTTTCCTAATTTAACCTAAGCTGTATCTCCAACAGGTACTGAGATTCCCATGCTTAGGATCCTTATCTTGGACACACTGTATATAGCAACGAGAATCTATTGAACACATACCTGTTCAACAAATATATTTTGAATACTTTCAATTCTAATTTACGTGTTATTGATTTGGAAATTGATCGATTACGTTAGGTCCAAAGTGGGTGTGTCTATTCGACCCTCCATCGTAACCCGCAAGGGTTTATTGTGGCGCACAGCTATTCACATTCGACCAAATAAACCCAGATTCTTAACGAAGCCGATTAGTTCGTATGAAATGCTCACAGAGTCATACTTTCTTTCAGGTACGATCTTCAGTGGGAAGTTGTTGGGAGACAAGGAAAAGAAAAATGCCAAGAAGGTTGCGACAGTTTTTGCCAAGACTGTAGCAAGATCAGCGGCACCCGTGCAATGTGTTGATTGTGAATGTACAGCTGGAAATACGGGTGTTTCTTTCATGGAGTGCTACCTCTGTACCATGCCTTCTTCTTTCAGATATAGTCCAGAAGTGAGTACAACTTCTTTTGAAATAAACAGTATTTCTTTCTTCGAATTGTGAAGATACCTTCAAAAAATTAATGAAAACTAGCTTGTTGAAGTGACCTTCTAGACTCTAGAGGTTCAAAGATCACTTCAAAATGTTCCTACTTATCGCAATATACAAAAACCTCAGTTAATTTAGAGTATCTAACAAGTAACTTGCTTGTGACTTGTTACAAGTAAGTAGCACATAGTATTAATATAATTTTTCATAGAATGCAATCTCAACTCAGCAATGTCAGTTGAAATTATCATTCTACACTACTGTTGATATAGAATAATACAGAAAATTAAAAACACAACTATTAGATTGATATTCATTTTATTGTATTCGATACTAAAATTTGTAAATATCTGCAAGTTCTGTTCAAAGTATAATATCATCAGTATTCATCATGAAAAATACTTTTTGGCATCAAATAAGAACTGAGTTTCATTGATAAGTTGACTTTCTCAAGAATGATGGTCTGAAAAGTTTCAACCTCAACCTGAAGATAGCATCAGTCGTGAATAAAANGAAATGTACAAAGGGGTTGATGAAAATATATGCACAACAGTATAATTACTTGAAAGAAAGATTGCTACAACTGAAAGAAATAAATAAAACTTTGAGAACTGTGATTGATATCGCACATATCACATATTGAATTATAGCTGTTACAAAGTATTGACACTGGTGCTTTAAAACTGTTATTTGTTCTGACATGATCACGGTAAAATTTCGTTTGGTATCTGGAATTGAGGCGTGGGGTGCGAATGTTGATCATTTGTAAAAAAAGGGGCACACGAGATCTTTGATGTGACAAAAAGTCGTCGTGTATTCAGAGATATTACATTAAATTGATTCAGAAGGATAGAATAGTCGGTTCCCCTCTGAGGATATATTCCTGTGACCTTGAAAGACAGATATTTTAAATTTTCTTTTAAACAGCATCAATATGATGTAAGTGGCAACTGTGAATTGGATACCATATTAACACGCCGTATTCTAGTTTAGACCTCACATAGGCATAGAACAGTGTTATAATCGTATTAATATACTTGAATTCTCCGGTACTCCTTATAATAAAGCCCAACATTCGATTCGCTGATGAAATAGCCTGGTCTATGTGGGAAGTGAAAGTGAATTTATTATTATGGGAACTTCTTTGTAAGGCATCATTTTGAAAATGATGTTTTTGAAACAAACAGTCCGATTCAAATCCACCCCAGTTCTGAAAGTTTCCATTTCTAACATTGTGCACCTTCACCTGTACGTTTACTGAGCCGTGCTATTCTGTCTACTTTCCTCTTCCAAGCACACGCGCTTCGTTTAGTAATCCTTCAGTTTAACAAATGGTACTTCTCAGACTAGATTGCCAGTAAGTTGTCCGTTGCTACTTCTCATATCCCACGCCCATTCTCAATTCAATCCAAATTTATATCTCTCTGAATTTATACTCTCACAATTCCCTATTTCTTTTTCCTCGTGCGCTGTACACCTTGAGTTTTATTTTCCGACTATTTTCCGACACACTTCTCCAATGCCCCTTTCACACAAAGAAAAATATTTATTTTCATGTCGCCATTCAATTGTCGCTCTGAAATTAAGGAAGTGTGGAAAATGAAAAGGAAACACCATTTCTCGGACATTTACAAATTCATGTTATTCTATAAGTTTCATTGCACAACACGTAGATACATTCTTCACGTTGTTTTCCGAATACTTATTTTGCATGAGCAAAATGAACTGAACTGAATGAAAAAGTGTACATCAATACAGGGGTGCGCAAAAGTCTGAAATGAAGTTAATATCTTTTCAACCAATATTTTAGGAAAGAAACGCTGAAACACGTCAGTTGATTTCACGTTGTACACATTTTTTAGCAATAGAAAGAAATTTTTTTTCAACCCCTTAGCTGCAACCCTCCCCAACTTTTTTTTTCAAATGCAAACCCATGTCGTGTACGAGCTCATTGGAAAGCTCGTGAAAAATGGATTCTGACCATCCCCTTTGTTTTTTTTTTAAAGTTACAAATACCTAACTCAGTGCTATCTACGGGTGAATTAACGTAACA